CCCTGCGAGCCCGTGACGGTGAGGGGCGGGCCCGGGGCAGAAGTCGCTGGGCGGGTGGGAGGGGCAGGTGCCCTGTCACCCTTTCCTGCTCACTCCCCTGTCCTCTCCCCAGGAAACCTTCTGGAACATGCTCCCCTTTTCTTGTGAGAGCCCCACCGCCCCATCAGGCCCTGGTGACTCCGCGGCCACAGCCTGACCCTCGCCAGCCTGAGAGGTTCCGGGTCAGCAGACACAGGGGTCTGGTGCACGAACATGGCTGACACGTGCCTCTCCGTGTCCCCGGCCCGGTGACCGAGGAGGAATGAAGAAAGTGTCACCGCGGCGCTGGGGACTGGATCCCGCGGTCGCTCACAGCTGGGGCCTTTTCCGGATGCTCCCAGTGGTTCATTTGGTTTTGAAAACCACCCGTGCTGCCCGCTGCCCACCGCCCCCCGCGCCTGGAAGCGGTGAGGTGAGGCCAGGGTGGGGGGCCCAGGGGGCTGCGTGAGGACGGACACCCTCGGGTCCTGGTGCAGCAGATGCACACGGGCAGAGGGGACTGCTCCAGAATGCCATCGGCACCAGGGGTGAATCTCCACGGGCCGCCTCATCCCCTTCCCCACCAACACCTGGATGGAACGGGCCTGCCCTGCCGCCTCGCACCTGACCCGCATCCTGGCTGCTGCAGAGGAAGGGAGGGAGGCCACTGGCTCTGTTACCAGGTTCTGCACACGCTTTACCCTGAGTCCTGCCAAGAGCCTGCACTTCACAGGTGTGGTCCTGGGGTCACAGCTGGGAAGAGGCAGAGGCGGGGTTCGGGCCGGGCCTGTCTGAGCCTGAAGCTCGGGCTCTTTCCGCCACTGCAAACGGCCAGGCAGAGGTTACACACCCAGCGACACCTTCACCGTGGCACGGTCCTTGCGTGGGAAGGAGTCACTAAGGGAGCCTCTGGCGCTGGGGCGGCCGGGTCTCGAGCAGAGCTGGGTGGGGACGGCGGGAGCCCCTCGTGCCTCCAGCCCGAATCACGGCAGGTCTGCTCGAGGCGGGTGCCATGAGACCCTCCAACAGGAACACAGCAGCAGTCACCCGCCTTCCACCTGGACACAGGTCCCCAGGGCCAGGGACCAAGGAAACAGCCCCAAGGGTCCCTCCCCACAGCCTCCCCAGGGAGCTGCCAGGTGCAGCCGCCCCCTCCCGTGACACCTGCTGCCCAGCGACAGGGGCCCAAACACGGGCAGCAGTGACTAGGATGAGGCCTCTGAGACACACAGGGGCCGCTGGGGCTCCTGCTGTGCTCGGCACCTGCTCGGGGACCCTGGGCGGCCACTGCGAGCAGGGCCGTCTGCACAGCGGGGCCGGGGCCGGGGCCGCGCCCCTGCCAGGCCGGGCTGTTAGGGTCAGAGACCTGGGCCCTGAGGGCGGAGCCCTCCTGGAGGGGTGTCGCCGCTCCCCACGCGGTCTCAGCTCTGCCGCAGTCCCGCTGCGGCCTCGGCCTCAGTTTCCCCACAACAGGGCCTCGTGGGGGCTTGCTGAGCAGCGAACCTCTCAAAGCCGGCGTGGGAGCACCTGGCTGGTGAGCCAGGGCTGGGCGGAGCGTGTGCTCCTGCCTCCTGGGCCAGGCTGGCCGGGCACAAGCATGGCCACTCCAGAGGTGGGACAAGGCCGTGCAGAGAGGAGGTGGCTCCCCAAGGTAATGCCGCCCGGTGCCTGGACCTCCTCGCAGCGTGTCCCCACGCGTGCCCGCGTGGCAGGCAGCACGTGGCGAGGCGGTACGTGCCTGCCCACAGCGCCGTCCAGGCGGACCCCCCGCACCTCCCCCGGCACAGCAGCAGCCAGCACGGCACCCGACCCTCACCACGGCACCCGACCCTCGCCACGGCACCCGACCCTCACCACGACACCCGACCCTCACCACGGCGCCCGACCCTCACCACGGCGCCCGACCCTCACCACGACGGTGATGCCGTCCTTCTCCAACGGGGCCTTGTCGTACGTCACTTCACACACCCGAACCACGGTGGTGGCCCCGTACTTCTTCAGGTCCTGGCAGGAGGGAGGAGGGGGAAGGCAGCGCTGGGGCTTCAGGGCTCGGGGGGGGGACCCCCAAGGCAGGGCTGCGCCCACTCGACAGGACAGAAATGCCAGCCGCCCGTGGTGGACGCAGGCTCTGTGACCGCCAGAGGCAGAAGCGTCTTTCCCGATGCCCTGGGGCACCTGGGCCTCGGCCCACCCAGCACATTAGCTCTCCTGAGGGTTCTCAGGACTCAGGAGGACCCTATTCTCTAGACGAAACTCCCGGGTCCTCAGGCAGCCCACACATGCGCCCTTGTGTGTGATCCCCGCTCTGAGCAGCCCTCCCGGCCAGGGGGGCATGAGCGGTCCACTAAGGGGCGCATCCAGACCCCACGCCGGGGCCTTCGGGCAGGGAGGGGCAGGCCTCGGTGGGCGTGCACTAGGAGAGCTGCAGAGACGCCCGGCCTCGCACGCCGGCCGGAAAGCCCCGGCTGCCGGGGGCAAGGTCAAGACAGTTCACCGCCAGGCCCGGGATATTTATACCCAACGTGGGGGGGCCTGGGGGTTCCCCTCCACCAGCCACGTGCAGGGGCTACACCCCCCACCTGCTCCCAGCAGCTATTTTGGGAGCGGTGAGGAATCAGTTGCTGGACCTTGCCTGTCATGTGACAGGGACACCGGACACAGTGAGGGCAGGACAGAGAATCTGGGAACAGAGAGGGTACAGGGCTCTGAGGCTGTGGGGGTCACGCAGATCCCTCTGTGCCTGCAGCAGAGCGTGCTGCCACCCACCCCAGGCCTAAGCCCTGACCCCAGTTACGCACTTGGCCCTGACCCTGGTCACACCTCATCCTGGTCACAGGTTGTGCCCTGACCTGGTCACACGCTGCACCCTAACCTGGTCACACATGACCTCTGACCCTGGTCACACCTGATCCTGGTCACACTCTGGGCCCTGACCTGGTCACACATGAGCACTGATCCTGGTCACACACGAGCCCCGACCCCGGACACACACTGAATCCTGACCCTGGTCACACGCTGAGCGTACGACTCAGTCTCTTCCTAGGTCCTGCTAATGATCACACGCTGAGCCCTGACCCTGGTCACACACTGAGCCCCGATCCTGGTCACACGCTGAGCGTACGGCTCAGTCTCTTCCTAGGTCCTGCTATTATCTCGAGGGCCTCAGCTGTGAGGGGTACAACCCTCTTCCATAGGGCGCCTGGCTTAGTTAGTGTCCAGGTCGCAGGTCCCCTGATGGCAGGGTGCCCGCTGCCTCTCTCTATGCAGTGTTCAGGATCCTCTCACACCTAAGTCTGCTTAATTATGACAAGCACCCGCGGGGGCCTATCCCATGTTACTGAGGAGCTGAGACCACAAACAGCCTTACACACAGCTGGGGGCTCTGCAAACAGCCAGGAGCTCTACAGAGGCCAGGCGCCTACTGCGGGCCACGGACAGCGCGGCAGGCTCGGCAGACACATCCGTCATGTCTGCTGGGGCTACTAGCAGCAGGTATGTGCCCGCTGACTCTCCAGGCTGTGCTAGGAGACTGGTCACTGTCCCATGGCCAGCTCAGACTGGTGCCCAGCCCCTCCTCACACAGACATCAGTGCCCTGAAGCACCCAGTCCAGCCTGTTCTGACCTGAGGCCTCCCCCAGAGTGCGTGGGCTCCCTGCAGATGTGGGCCGTGGAGCTGGCCGTGGTGCTGGCCGCCCCGCCCGCTCTGCCACCTGCCTGGCTCTGGGCTGTCAGAGCCCACTCCTCACCTGGGGTCCTTCCCTCCTCCGTCCCGCTCAGCCACAGCAGGGGCCAAACAGCCAGCAAAGGGCTCAGGGCGGCTCCAGCTGCGGGCAATGCTCCCTGCTCCTCCCGGCTCCGAACCCTCCTCTATGGTCACAGTGTGCGTCTACCCGCCACATGTCGGCCCTCAGGGAACCCAGCTGACCCCCCGCAGCCCTCACCCCTGCGCTCCCAGGACACTATCATGCCCCCTCGGGGATCTGCAACCGCAGTGACATTTTTGCCCCCAAGCGCAGGGGTGACAGCTACGAAGCCCTCGGGAGGCTGAGGGCCGCGCAGCCACGCTCGTTGGACCCCTGCCGGCCCGCTCACCTCGATGAAGGAGCCCAGGGTGGCGTTGGTGGGGTTGTGCGTGATGAGGAAGCGCATGTTCTTGTGGGTCACCTCCACGGGGGCTGGCCGGTTCATGCGCGCCATGGCTCCCGTCAAGACGGGGCAGGGAGCACAACAGGAGGAGACCCCAGCCCCCCAAACCCGGTGCGAATGAGAATGTGCTTGTCCAGGAGAGGAAATGCTTTTAAAAAAACCTGCCCCCCACACTCTGCACAAATATTGTGCAAATACTTGGGAGCGGGGAGGACGCTGCCCCGGCCACGGAGAGTTAGAATAGAAAACCGAGCTCTTTCCAAACGCAGAGGAAGAACGGCCCCCCAAAGGAGAACGGCCCGTCCAGGCTCCCGCCTCCCAGAGACAGAGAATTATAAGGGGGCAAGAATAAAAGTAACCACCGAAAATTTCAGCAAAGAAAATCTTCAAAAGCCCAGAGTGAGTCCGGCTGCCGTGGCTGTGTCCCGCACTGTGCCTGTCCCTGGGGACGCCCTCGCTGCATCGCTGGATGGGCGGAGGGCCCCTCACTCAAAGGCAGACCCCAACCCCCAAGGACCAAAGGAAAAACGAACTTGAACTAAGCCAACGGGGCCACTTCGGGGTAGGGGGTCACAGGCAGCGGACGTGGCGGGCGGGCGGGTGGCCAGCTCTGACACGCGGGCCTCCGTCACGTTACCCCATCGGGGTAGGGTGAGTCCTGGCGGGGCACAGGGGGCTCAGGCGGCCCCGGGCCGGGCAGCGGGGGCCATCGGCGGGTGAGGGCAATGGTGAGGGCCAGAGGTGCAGAGGCCCCCTCAGCAGCCGGCGTGGTGGTGATGCTGGGTCCGGCAGCACTCAGAGCCGGCCCTCGAGGCCCTCTCCATGGACCCCGGGCTGGTCAGCAGCAGGCAGCGTCTGCAGGCAGAGAGGAGAGAACGGACAGACCAGGGGTCAGCGGAAGCCCCCGCCTGCTGCGGGCTGCCAGCCTGCCGGACCCCTGCGCTGAGGGACACATGCGTGCCGGGCCTGCTGCTGTGGGGTGGCCTCCCTGGCACTCAGTTTCCCCATGTGGGGGCATAAAGAAGGACAGCTCCGGCTGGGCAGCCCAGGGCCCCCCGAGGTGACAGGACAGCCACCAGCATGGAGTGGCAGGTTCACACACACACACACACACACACACTCTCTCTCTCTCTCTCTCTCTCTCTCTCTCTTTCTCTCTCTCTCCGGGCGGTCTGTCATGGCAGGGCCTGGCACTGTGAGCCTGGCCGCCCTCCTGTGATCAGCAGACACCCCTCCTGTACCCCAAGACAGGCTCCCTGCCCCTTGCAGAATTCTGAGCCCAGATGATTTGGGGGCGGCCAGTGCTCAGGGAAGGGGGTCAGTATAGAGGCCGAGGAGCCGGGCCCGCGGGTGAGTGGAAGGAGGCCCCGCTCCCAGCCACGAACCACCGAGCCTCTCAGGAGCTCCCCGCGGAACCTCGGGCTGCAGCCAGACCCCGCCCCAGCCCGCCGTGCTGCCATCCACCCACAGGGCCGGGTGGCGTGGGGCAGGGGGCGGTAGACAAGCCAGTCGCTGCCTCCGGGAGTTCAGAGAACCAGGGCAGACCGCGACGGCCAGAGGACAGCCACCAGGCTCACGCCGAGGCAGTGACAGCACAGGGCCCCTGAGAAAGATGCGCCTGTCCACAGAGACAGCCACCCAGCCCCTCCACACCCGTCTCCCTCTCTGGGCCCCAAGGGTCCCGGGCCGGGGGCCCCGGCAGCAGCACCAGCCTGACTCTCACCCCCAAGGGCAGGCTCGGAGTCCTCGGGCATGTCACTGACCTCGGTTTTCCATCTGCAGAACGAAGGGCCAAACGAGATGCCCCCACGCTCCCTCCAGCCGCAACCCAAGGGTCAGCAGACCCTCCAGCCACTGGACTAGCCCCAGCCCCGCAGCCAGCACCCCATCTGCTCACCCGGAAGTGTCCTCCTACCTGTGCCCCTGCACCCCCTTCTCCAGCTGCCCGCCGGAGCCTCAGCCTGGGCGCAGGACGGGCCCAAGGCCTGGGACTCCGCCACCACTCCCGGGCTCAGGGCAGGCGCCACATCTCAGCCCCTGCCCGGTGCCCCGGTCCCAGGAGGGCGAGGTCGGGGCGTGGTGCCCAGGGAGGGGACGGGCAGAGAGAAGGCATCCTGTGGCTCGGCCGCCGGACCTGCTCCCTCTGAGCAGCTGCTGCTCAGAGCGCGGGCGAGGAAACAGACAGCCTCGGGCGCCCCGAACAGCCGCACACAAACACCTGTGCCTCCTGGGGCGGCAGGATGTCCCCGTGTGCGTGCGTGTGTGTGTTTACCAGACAGGAGAAGGCCCAGGGAAGACACCGGACTCCAGGCCTCTCCCAAGGGGCTGACCGCCACCTCGCCACCCACAGATGCTGGGCACATGGAGGCCCTGTGGGCAATAGCAGATCGCCTGGCTCTACTGCCCAGTGTCGCTGGGTAGGTCCCCGGGGCCGAGAGTCGCTGGGCAGGAAGGTGCCCAGAGCCACCCTACACTACTGCCCACTGAGCCTGAAGTTGTTGCTTGCCGGCGGGGTCAGGGGTTAGACTGGCTGGGTTCAGGGGTCAAGGGTCTGGGTTGAGGCTGGACCAAGGTCACTGCCTAGGTTGGAGCCTTGCCACACACCCCACTTGTCTCTGTAGAGTCTAGGTCTCCCGGCCCCAGAGCGGGAAACAGTGATCCCCGCTTTTCCTGCCCCAGGCGCCCTGTGTGGCTCAACCAGGCCTTGTGGCTGCCCCCGGAGAGGTGGCCCTCCCTCCTAACCATGGCTCTTCAGTGAGGTCACCGAGCAGAGTCCCCGGGTATGGCTGACCCGAGTCCATCATCCACCAAGCCGGTGTCCACCCTCCTTGCCACAAGAGCCCGGTTCCCCTCCCTCTGGCCTTCCTGCCACTGCCCACATCCCCCTCTGGGACCCTGCAGACTTCTCCCGTCCCCTGCCACGTCCAGGACGGTTGGGGGAGGCCCCGGCACTATCCCTGCCCTCACATGGGCGCACAGACCAGGGGGAGCCGCAGAGCCCGCCAAGGCTCCCTGACCTCCCCGGGTTTGCTCAAGCTCACGTCTGGGAGACGAAGACCTGCAAGTCCAGGGTCCTGGAGGCGGGGACCGAAGTTCAGGGAAGACACCGCCCTGGCCGCGCTCACGCTGGCCAAGGAGCTGGCAAGAGCTCGAATCCAGAGGTGTGGGAGGGCCAGCCCCTCTGGCCGGGCCGGAATGACACGGGGGAGGCCGGAGGACGAGGGCTCGGCGGGGTCCGGGTGGGCTCACGTAGGAGGCTCCCCGTCCCGGGGCGCGATCCGAGGGGGTGCGGCCACCTCCCCGGGGCGGGGCTG